GAAATCCTATTTAGGAATTCAATATATACCAAAGATCGAAAGACATCAAAATGTCCTCTAACATTCAATTTGTGAACCGTAAAAATGATGCCACCATGAAGTATTAGTTCTCTAATTCTATTCTTTTTCTTTTTCACAAATGAAAAGTTATAAGAAAAATAATTTTTTGATGAGTAAATTTTAGGTTTAGCAAACACAAAAATCAAATTTGTATGTTATAGTTATAGTTTGCATAATTGTGCTCCATAGCAAATTTTATATTTGCTATGGAGCTATTAATCTGTATATTTCGGTATTCATTCCAATTGTATAAGTATATATTTGAAATCTGTATACAAATAAGAAACTGACTTGGTTGTAAGTTGTATAAGTATATGTTTTTTGGTTGTGATTTTCAATCGTATATGTATATGTGTATTATATGTATTTAAATATAAATCTGTATATGTATATGTAACTATATTTTTGTATATTCCACTAAAAGTGAAATTTATATATATATGATTTTGTACTAGTGGAATATGTATATAATTAAAATCTGTATTAGTGGAACCATACATAAATTTTTTTTAAAAAAAATTGATTTGGGATGTGATTTTAGGAGAAATTGAAAGAAACAGGGAGAGAAAAAATAGGAAAGGATTTGTATAAAAATAAATCTTTCGTTCTTTGAAATGTGTGGGCCCCAACCAATTTAAAAAAATTGATTTGGGGAGAGATTTTAGGAGAAATTGAAAGAAACTAAGAGAGAAAAGCTAAGATACTGAAGAGATTTGTATAAAAATAAGTCTTTGTTTTTTTAAATTAGTGGGCCACAACCGAATGGCAAAAATCAAATAACATTTGTTATGAAATAAAAATAAATGAAACAGTAGCTATAACATTTATTTTGATTTAAATATTTGCTATTATGCACAATTTTTCCTTTTTTGATTCTCTTTTCTAGTAGTAAATAATAAATTTAGTGTGATATAATTCGAAAAAAGAAGAAGAGATGAGGCAGGAAATAACAAGATAAAAGGAAGAAGATAGTAGTGAATCTTTTCTAATAGTAAAGAATAAATTTAGTGTGATATAAGGAGATGATGCAGGAAATAGCAAGATCAAAGGAAGAAGATATATAGTAGTGAATTGAGTAAAAAGAAAAAGGAAGGTAAAGAAGAAAAAGGAAAGATTTTTTTTTGAAGTAACTGCAATAAAAATAAACACAGGAAAGGAAAGAAAAATGTAAAAACGTTACTTTTTATTTATTTTTGGGAAAATGCATAACGTACCCCCCCCCACCCAAGCCTATGCCCAAAATCCCTAAGACACACCTAACCTTTACTAAGGTCCTATTACCCCCCGAACTTATTTTATATATAATTTTCTACCCCTTTTCGGCCTACGTGGTACTATCTTGTGAGTCCAGCGCGTGTTGACAATTTTTTCAAGGAAAGTGCCACGTAGGCCGAAGAGGGGTAGAAAATTAATTAAAAAATAAGTTCGGGGGGTAATAGGTTCTTAGTAAAGGTTAGGTGTGTCTCAGGAATTTTGGGCATAGGTTGAGGGTACTTATGCATTTTCCCTTTATTTTTCTTTAACTACTTCTCTCTCTTTCTTCTTTATTATATAGCATTTTAAATAGAAAAAAGTTATATAAATATATATATTGAACTTTCAAAGAATATATATATTATTATTATTATTATTTGAAATGTAATATCATATTATAAATGTGAGTACAACTATATTAAAAAGTAAATTAGATAATATTTTTTATAAATTCTTTGAAGTTGAATTTTTTTAACATAACACATAAATAAGAAAAAATATTTTAAAAGTCAGGAATAAGAGGGAAAAAATAATTATGATTCTTGGTTAAATAGATAATTTTTTGACAAATTTTATAGATAAAAAGAAATAAAATTGAGAAAAAATAAAAATTTCATGCATAATAATAAATTACGATAATAAGGAAGAGAAATGAATATTATTATTATTTTTTAGAATCATTTTAAAAAATATATTAGAGAGAGGAATTTAAGAAAAAAAATGATAAATTGTAGTAATGTGGGACTGGGGAGAGAGACAAATATGATATTTGAATTTTATTTCACTGATTATAGATCAAAAGAAAAAAAATTGTAAAGAAGAAAACAAATTTCGATAATAATAGTAAATTATGATAATAAGGAGGAGAGATAAATACAATTTTTTCTTTTGAAAATAGAAGGTAAAAAGACTAATTTAAGAAAATATATTAAATTATAGTAATGATGAGGAGAGATGAAAGCAATAAATTATAGTAAAGGTAAGAAGAGAGATAAATAAGGTAAGCATATTTATTATAATCATAATATAAGGTGAGTACTATAATTATGTTAAAAATATATTAAATTAGATACTATTTTATAACTTCTTTTGAGTTTTTTTAACACAAAATATAAATAAGAAAAATATTTAAAAATCAAGAAAAGGCGAAAAAGTATAACTTCTTTTGAGTTTTTTTAACATAAAATATAAAGGAGAAAAATATTTAAAAATCAAGAGATATCTTATTTTTACAGATCAAGAGAATTTATTTATTTATTTTTTTAAAGAGAAATTTTGTGAATAATAACAGTAATATTTAACATCTATGTTTTTCTTCAAATTTTATAAATTCGAAAACAATTAAGAAAAAAGAGTTTTTTTGTGAATAAGAATAATTAATTATGGTATAAAGAAGAGATATAAATAAATTTTTTATTATTTATATATAAAAAAAAGAATAGATTGCAAGATGTACAACCCCAATTACACAAAGAATATAAAGTATTTGAAGAAACTAATCATTTGAGGCACTATATACTTTATCAAAATGTGGATAACAAATTTGAGAAAAGCTTTTTAAACAAACCTTATCAGTATTTGAATTAAAATTAAAATTATAAATTCTACAACGTTTTAGAAGAGTAAAAGAGAATAGTAACAAAATTAAGCCTAATAATAAATTATGATAATACGGAAGAGAAATGAATAATATTATTATTTTTAGAATCTTTTTTTAAATTAGAAGGTATAAAAAAAGTTTTAAGAAAAAGTGATAAATTGTAGTAATGTGAGGAGAGAGACAATTAAGGTATTTGAATTATTATTTTTTACTGATTTTATAGATCAATAAAAAAAAACTTTAAAGAAGAAAAATTTCTTCAATAATAATTATAAATTATGATGATAAGGAGGAAAGATAAATAAGATTTTTCATTTTAAAAATTATAAAATTGTAGAGGGTAAAAAAACTAATTTAAGAAAAAATATTAAATTATAGTAATGATGAGGAGAGATGAAAAAGCAATAAATTGTAGTATTGATAAGAAGAGAGATAAATAAGGTAAATATATTTATTATAATCATAATATAAGGTGAGTACTATAACTATATTGGAAAAAAAAATTAGATACTATTTTATTACTTCTTTTGAGTTTTTTAAACATAAAATATAAATTAGAAAATATTTAAAAGTCAAGAAAAAAGAGAAAGAAGGATAATTATGACTCCTGATGAAAGAGAAATTTTATTTTTACATATTTTACAGATCAAGAGAAAAAAATTAAAGAAAAAAAGATAAACTTTTTGAATAATAATAATATTTAAATCTATTTTTCTCTTCAAATTTTATAAAATCAAAAGAAAGAAAATAATTAAGGAAAAAGAATGTTTTTGTGAATAAGAATAATTAATTGTGATGATAAAGAGGAGAGATAAATAAGATTATTATTTTTTAAAACTATAAAAATAAAATGTAGAAAAAATAATAAATTATAATAGTAATGATGAGGAGAGATGAAAAATATTTAATAGATTGTAATAATGGTAAAGAGATAGGTCAATAAGATATTTAAATATATATATTTTTTGTGAATATTATGAATCAAAATAAAGAAAAAAAATAAAAAATTGACTGTAAAGACAAATGATAATCATGACCAAAGTGAGGTATTACATCATTCTTTTATCCGCCACTTTTATATTTTTCTAAATTGAAATATCAATCTTCAACTATAACTCTAAAATATGTTCAATATATAATTTATTTTCATATTTATACGTAATGGATTATTTGTGAAATTAACTCTTTTTGTTTCTTTTTAAAAGTCAAACACTTCCTATAATATATTTAATATTTTATTATATATATTGTTATTTTAAATTACGGCTATAATCAATAACAAAAAATTCATATTATTACATTGTTTAAATTGCGATTTAATAATAACTAAAACTTGAAATTCAATCTATTTGAATTTGAAAACTAAAAACGATCCTTAAAATATTTTTGATATTCAAATATAAAAAAAAGTTAAAAAAATATTTGATTAGAGTTTTTCTCACAAATTCACTAGTTTTAAATAAATATCAACAAGTTAGAACATTTTAATGTTATCCCATTAGGGATGGCGATGGGGCGGATGCGAGGCAGTTTTAAGGTTATGTGGGGAGGGTGGGATGCGGGGTGTATTGAAGTGTATTTTTTTTTATAAACTAATGTGGGGCGGGGTAGGTTGCAGGTCTATGTGATTTTATGCGAGTTCTTAATTTTAATTTTTTATATGTTATAAGAGTAATAGAGCATTATTTATTAAGATAATTTCTTTAAAGTTACCAAAATATTCAAGATAGTAAATGAAAATGTTTCAATAAAAACTAATACGATTTCTTACATGCTTCCCTATTGACCTTTAAATAATAAAACTTTAACTTATCTATTAAATTAATACAACTTAATGAGAAAATAAATTAATTTTTATGAATTTTATTTTAGTATCAAACTTAATTATAAAAAGGCAAATATTCAAAAATGGGGCGGATTCATGCAGGGCAGGTGGGGCGGATTGAAAATGAAAATAGTTGTTATACGAGGCAGAGCGAGACGGGTTAAATTTGTACGGATTAAGCGCAACCCGCCCCGCACCCACCCCGCCTCATTGCCATCCTTGTAGCCCATACTTAATTGGAAGAATTTTTAATCTTCTTATACTTAAATGCCAACTTTCTGAGGAATTACATCATGTTGCCTTTCATCTTCTTTGTGAAATTTTATCTTATTCGTCTTTGAACTTTTCAGTTTCATATGCTCGAAGTATTCCGGAAATGCATAGAGAAAGAGAACAAAATTTGAGGATATTTACTCTCTCAGAGCTTAAGGAGGGTACAAGGAATTTCAATAGACTGTTAAAAATTGGGGAAGGTGCTTTTGGGAGTGTATATAAAGGTTTTAATTCAACCTCCTAATGCGAAGGGTGATCCTATTTTGGTGGCTGTTAAGAAACTCAACACACTTGGATTTCAGGTATGAACTTTTCCTTTTATCTGTGGTATGTACCATTTCATATTTGATATGAACTTGCTTATTACATTTTTGATACATGGTTGAAATTATTACCATTTCATATTTGATATATGCTTCGAAGGGAAATTTCATATTAGCACAGGAAAATGTCACCGTATAGCTGCTAAGGAGAAAAAATTTTCTCAATTTTAGGAGAAACTATATTAACACAATCAACACCAGGGGAAACCCTTAACTTCAAAGTCTCAAGCATTGGCAGATTATGCATGTCTTCTGATCCTAGACAACCGAAAAACTTTGGAACGTTCTAACTGGAGGCATATAAGATTGAAGATTGGGGAGTTGAGTATCATCAGGCAACTAAATGATACACCTCTATTTGATTCTCTGAAATATTTTAAAGATTGTGGAGTTGAGCACTCAAGCTTCATAGTTCTCTGAAATATTTTAAAATTCTATTTGATTGAACATCACCATATTCCACCGAAGTAGCTCTGGCTTTTTGCCTCAGCACCTGCTCCTCCACCTTGCTCCATTTCCTGGCCAAATAGCATTGAATCCAGCATACCTTGGAACCCATAGGTGATCTCATTCTATCACCTGAGCTCAACACATTGTTGAAGTCACCACACAACACCCAAGGGTAATTAATTATATTGCAAATCAACATGGGATATAGCATCCAATAATCTCTCCCAGTCATTCATAGCAAACACTATAGTGAGAACATGAGTTCTAGGATCCTCAACAACACAGTAAATTGATTGATCCTTAACCTCAATTATAGTAACATTAAGACACTTTTTCCATATCAATCGAATTCTACCATTTGGCATCTCACTATAACTACATCAAGTTTCCCACCCTTGAGCATCCTGTAGAATTCTCACGTAAAGATTAGAGATAAAGGATTGTATTAATGTTAAAAACTGTCGAGTACATGCTCCTTATATAGGAGAGAGTCTTAGGCTAGCTATACTTAGAATCCTACTACAATACAAACATATAATTACACGAGTATAGGTTGACTACTACTACTACTACTACTACTACTACTACTACTACTACTACTACTACTACTACTACTACTACTACTATTATAATAACTTATCCTAGTCGACTTCAACTAGTACAAGACACAACGGCCTTGTCGACATTTAATCTCCCAGTCCTAGTGTGACTTTTAATCTTCTTATTACCATCCTCGTAGCCCATACTTAATTGGAACAACTTTTAATCTTCTTATACTAATTAAATGCCAACTTTCTCAGTAATTACATCATGTTGCCTTTCATCTTCTTTGTGAAATTTTATCTTTTTGTATTTATTAATTGTAGTCTTTTCACTTTTCAGTTTCAGCTGCTCGAAAAATTCCGGAAATGTTTGGAGAAGGAGAGCAAAATTTGAGGATTTTTACTCTGTCAGAGCTTAAGGAGGCTACAAGGATTTTCAATAGATTGTTAAAAATTGGGGAAGGGTGATCTTGTTTTAATTGCTGTTGAGAAACTCAACACACTTGGATTGCAGGTATATATCAAGTTTTCCTTTGATATGTACCATTTCATATTTGATATGAACTTCCTTCTTCTTTTTAATTTTAGGAGTAAAATAAATTTTGTCACTCAACTTTAAATTCTTACTTACTCCCTAAATGGAGTCCATATTGTTCTATAGACACTGTAGCTCTTAATACTCTATTAGAATAAAAAAAATGGTTAACTGTATTATAATTTTTTTCAAAAAAAGTAAAAATATTTAGTAAATTTTTTAAATTTGTATGTTGCAGTAAAGAAAAGTTTAAAATATATTTAGGGAAAATGGATTGCAAAAATATTTAAGAAGTAAATATATGGAAGTAAATAACTATGGTTAGGAGTTTGCTTTAATCCATTAGATTTCAACCATTAATTCTAACCTGTGACACGTGTCTCCAATCCAAGCTAGAACTTGGGGAAAATGGAGAGAAGAGAAATGGAGAGGAGCCGGATCCACTAAAGTTGACTATGTCTAGCTAGAAAATAGGGAAGTACTAAACTAAAACTAAGTAAAAAAAAACAGTAAAAAATAATAAGCTGGAAGTTAAGAAATGACAATTGTTTAACACTCCTCCTTGACATTATCGTGACGAACACCAATTCTTTGCCTCAGATCTTCAAACCTTTCTTTTGGCAGAGAATTAGTGAAGACGTCAGCTAGCTCGTTCTCAGATGAGCAATGAACAAGCAACACTTCATAAGATTGTTGGACTTCTCTAATAAAATGAAATTTGATCTCGATGAGCTTACTAAACTTCTTTTTAGACAAAAAATAAAATAATCATAAATGTCAATAAACCAAGAAAAATAATGTTAGATTCTAATATTTGAATTTATGAGTCTAATAAGTAATGATAAAAACAATGAAGCGGGAAAAACGTTGTATCAGAGGTTTATAAAATTCAAAACAAGTTAGAGCTGAGTTATTTTTTTTTACATATATCCAATAATTATCCCTTAACCATTATAAAAACATTTAACTTCTTACCTTACTCGTGCAAGTATTGTTATCATTTTATTGGAACTCCTAATCCTTCATATCTTGATGGACATTTTGTAGTTTTTTTAAAAAAATCTTTTACCAAAAATGTAGGAACCACTAAAAAGCATAATGACTTACCAAGGCATCATAAAGAGGCAGAAGGTGTTTGGTGCTTCAAATGCAGAACCTACCGTGAGTTGTTCACCTCGAGCCAAGTTATCGATGGGCACCGATGCAAGAACATAATTCATGACACTTGGATGAGAGGTCCCCAACGGTTATGTGCCCATAATTATGTACTTGTGTCGGTGCCCAGTGATTCCTTGACTCAAGGTGAACACCTCACGGCAGGTCCTGCCATCTGTAGCACCAATCACATGCTAGGCTCTTTATGATGCCTTGGTGAGTCATTATGCTTATTGGAGGTTCCTATATTTTCCGTGAAGGATTTCTTTTTAAAAAAATAACAGAACTGTCCATAAACATATAATTAGGACTTCTAAAAAAATGGTAACATTGCTTCCATGAGTAAGGAAAAAGTTAAATATATTTATTATGATTAAGGGGTAATTCTAATTATATTTTCATAAAAACGACTCAGCTATGACCTTTTTTGAATTTTGTAAATCTCAAATGCAATGTTTTTCCACTTTCTCTTTTTTTTTTCTCATTTTCTCTAAAGAGTCATAAATTTTAAGGTTAGAATCTGACATCAAATTTCTTACTTTATTGACATTTATGGTTATTATTTTTCTTTTTCAAAAAGGAGGTGAGTTTGGTATAATCTTTACATCAAGCTAATAATTATATCATCATTTTTTTTCTTTTTTTTTAAAACAAAAAGATAGCATTTAATTTGACTAATTTCTTATACTTATCTCCTATGAGTACAAATTCTAACGAAACTTTAGAACAACCAATTCTAATTTAGCACATGACTAAATACATGTGAAATCAACCTTAAAAGGTATCTGACATCATTAGGAAGATTCTTTCGTTTGATTCGATATCATGCACCATTAGTGTTAGAATATAGGCTTCCACTAAAAGTCAATGGACCAGGTCCCTTGACACGTTAAGAACAATAATGCAAGCAACATCAGAAGACAACCAAAACAACAAAGACGACGCAATCACTTAACGTGGAAACCCCCTTGCTCTAAGGGAGGTGAAAACCACGACCTGTCCTCACATGCTTTTCAAACCAAACTCCATTTCTTCCAAATAGAGCAATGATTTAGATTACAACAGCTTGCAACCTAGGAATTTACCTCTAAATACCTTCCCCCTAAAAGTAGTATTTCCACTACAAATAGAGCAACTAAGCAATATCACTATTGCCCACTAAGCTACCCGACACAAGATAACTTAGAATTCACTAAGCAACCCACGGTTGCTCACTAACCCACCTAACTCTAGATGACTTAGGATTTGACTAAGCAGCGAACAATGCTGCTCACTAAACCAGTTAGACACAACTGATTTACACTTTTAGACGAACTGACAAAAGATCTAATTCCTTTATTGTTTAGGATTATATTTACAACGATAAGCACTGAAGTAAAAACCTAAGACAACTAAAACACAAGCTGCTCTATCTGGTCCCTGTTGCTCTTTGGTAAGTACTTCTTGAGATGAGTGGTTTTTGCCTTTTTGCTCTGAAAATCTATATTGCAAAAACTAAAGTTCTGTTTGTGTGAAGAAGTCCTTATGAGAATAGACACAACCTTCAAGGCAATGTGATTGGCCGAGGTTTATGCCACACTTGGAGACCGTGCACAAACTTGTGTACTTTTTCGAGCTGTCAATTGTACGGATATGAATGACGCGGATCAGGTCCCCTTACAAGGTCCTCTGCTTGTAAAATCATCAAAACTGCGAATAACATTTTCCCCCTTTTTGATGATGACAAACTCATAATGCTATATCCTCCTCATTCTCCACTTCCCCCTATCTATAAGGCACCCCTAAGGCACCCATTCCCCCTTTTGGCATCATAAAAAAGAGAGACAGTAAACCAAGATTAAAAGTAAGCATGCATAGAAAGACCATAACTTTGAGCAACACATCATAGAAAAAGAATTAGACTGGAAGACATCAGAAAAATAGAAGTCCTTTTCATGGCACAAAGTAAGCATTCAATACATTGACAATAAACTGCTAAAGAGAACCCGAGACACTACCCACACAAAAAAAACAGGCAAGGACAAAATATGGAGAAAATTAGGAAAAGAGAGGCTGATGAGTGAGAGATTTGATGACAAGGGTAAGTCGGTCATTGGCAGAGTCATGAGCTTTGATCAACCTTTCTTGAAGATCGGCAATTTGACTTAGAAGGGCTGTATTTTTCAGACGTAACTCTTTGACCTCTTCAGTACCAGGTCCCTCAGACTGAGCTTTGGCCAGTTGTGCCTTCAATAGTGCCATTTCAACATCCTTCTTCCCAACAAGTGCTGTCAGTTCCTCCAGTTCACGCTTGAGTTGATCTCGTTCAACCACTAAGTGAGACATTTTACTCTATTGTCCTGTTTGACCCTCGATGCACTCACACTCGACTAAGGTACCGAGAGAAATTGATTGTTTAACTGTGCCATCAGTACCTGGTCCCACTGAAACTTTCAGATGATCGAACACTTTTGTGAGAAAGTATCCATATCCCATTCCATGCTTCCCTTTACGTTCAATCACCGTCTTGTGCATGTGTTCCAACATGAGTGCTGGCAAATTCAGTGGGTCAAACTTACAAAGAGATTCCATTAGGAATAAATCTGCTAAATTGGCAGTTGTACGCTTCTCAGATCGAGGAAGAACCACCTTGTTCACAAACTCAAACAACAATTGGTATTCCCCTTTCATGAGCTTCTTTTAAATACTTGCACGATGCATGTCTGGAAGTTTAGAGCACTCATTGGAAGAGTGCTGAGTGTAGAGTTTTCCAGCCATGGACCTGATCCCTTATCTAGGTATCTCTAGCATCTCTTCCAACAGCTCCTCATTTAGATGCATCTTTTTATCTCCCACCAAAGTCTGAAGGCTTAAATCCTCATTGAACTCCACATTGTAATAGAACTCCCTTACTTGGTTTTCATGCATTACAAGAGATTTAGTCATGAACAGGTGAGTCCATGATTGAATCTCCATTAGATCCGCCAACGAGTTCATTCTAGGTTTCTTGAGGATCGTGGGGTCAAAAACTCTCCCACCCAGGACCTTCTGTAAATGCAGATTGTTAACAATATCCTGCTTGGTGTCCTCCTTTGTATTTCGCTTTCTCTTGGTACCAGGTCACTATTCTTGTACGTTTTTAGCAACAGGCACAGTCTCCACCTTTTCTTTCGATTTTCCCTTAGACTTCTTAGTTGTTGCCTTAGCCTTCTCCCATTTTTCAGCAGCAACCCCTTGTACAGAGAGATATCTAGATTTTTCAAATTTTCCCTTTTCTTTTCCCCTTTCTTGTTCCTCCCTTCGCCTTTGTATCTTAGCCAGTGGGGTATCTTCTGATTCAGTATCATTCTTTGAGTGTTCATTTTGAACCACCACCAGTCCTTCTCTAGGTATATCCATCTCCAAATTACCCGCCTTTCTCTTTCTTCTGTTTTCTTCAGTAGTTGCTTTGTTTGACTTCATGGCATCCCCCATAAATTTCTTATTAGTTGCTCTGGTAACATGTTTTCTTTTTGGAGTTTCCTCAACAACCTTTTCCTTTCCTTTTGCAGTGACAGACACCATTCTTTTCTGCACTGCCCATTTGAGTGGAGGGTTCTCCTCATCAGTGTCGTCTGAGTCATTAGCAAGAGTAAGTCCAACTTCTGGCGTTCTGTCAAAGATTGGTTCGGTGTTTTCAAGAGAGACTTCACCAAAACCACAACTTTCCTCATTTCTCTTCTCTTCTCGCATCTGTGCCAGACTCTTTATAACCATGTTCTCACTAGCAGCAAGGATATTCGATTCAGAATGTCGATGCTCAGGGAGGTTACCCTCAAACAAGCAATCAAACAGTGTTGACAGAT